ATTTTTAGAGATGCAAAACACCCTGTGTAATTAAAGCGGTAAAGAAAGGAGACAAAGACTTAACAAAGCAGTATTTATGCTGTATCACAAGCTTCAGCACTGGTGCTCATATGAAGAAAGGTCTTGAAGTCTAAGCAAACATTATTTATGTGCTAAACTAATTCTATTTTTATTATTATAAATAAAAATATGAAAAAAGTATTTTTTAATTTAACTGCCTTTCTCACACTGCAAAAGAGAAAATTGATTCAATTGAATTTTCTGTCATTTTCTGTCGCTGAATGTTTGCATTGATGACTGAAAGACATCTTCTGCTTTCATTTATCTGTTTACTACAGTGTGTTGAATTCCTGTTAATGTGTATTTAAAGATATTTTAATTAGTGCAAAAAATTGCAGGAGGGAATATAAAAAAAAAAGTAGTCAACCAAGACTTTCGCGACCCCCATGCAGTGCCTCCACAGACCCCCTAGGGGTTGCGGACCCCCTTGTTGAAGACCTCTGCCCTAGAGTGTAGCACTGTAGATGCCTGGCTGTGTTAGCTGCTGGCTGTAACAACTCGAGCTAGGTAAAACCAATTGTTTTCAGGTTTTTTTTTTCAATACCGAGAAACAGATCTATGTGAAAACTCACTGGATTTCTCCTTTAAGGTGGACATATACAATGGGGAAGTGTCATTTATATTTTTTTAGTTATAAGTTTTTTTGACGTGTTTTATCATTAGACATTAAACGCCCAGCCTGCCATCAGAGTGTTTTCTGAAATGTCCCTGACACTGAGATTTTAGCTCTATTTTGGTTATTTATGGAGTCAAAACACGTGATTTAGCCTTGATTTGCATTTTAACTGTTTATGTTAAAAGAAGGATGGCACTCAGAATGAACAATTCATGGCAATCCCACTTTCAATTGATGTGGAAAAATTTAAAACATTTTATGGGATGTTCTGCACTAAAATGGCACCATATACATTTATAAGGGTCTTAAATGTCATGTGTGGCGTGTTTTATGTTGTTATTGCATTTGTATAGTGCTTATTAATAAATGTTGTTAATGTTTGAAGAAAAGAAGGACGGCCCTCAGAACCAACAATTTATGGCACTTTTACCTTCAATTGATTGTTTGAAAAGGTTTTATGGGATGGTCTGAACTAAAATTGCACATTATACCTTTCTAAGGGTCTTAAATGTCATGTGTGACATGTGTTATCTTGTCATT